TTAGTTAGTAGTTTTTTTTTTTTTGAATTTAGAAATACATTTTCTGTTAAGTGTTTTTTGGATAATCAAATACCAGATTGGATAAACTGTGAGAGATGGACAACCAGTCAACTAAGAATATATAAGCTAATTGAGTTACATGATAAATGTTTACTTATGTTAGTGTTATCGTTATATAACTGAAATAATATTGGGTTATATTAGCAAATTACTGGTTTTTGATGCTAAGACAAAGTGAAACTTCAAACCACTGTAGTGTTTAACTAAAAACTGTGTTAAAATGATCAATGTTTAATATATTTTTTATTTCCCCAATAAGTCATCAAGTTTTGCTTAACATGTCTGTAAAGAAAAACTTTTCTTTTTTCAAATTTATCCAATCATTGCATCTCCATCATTTCCTGTAGCATCTATTGCTAGACTAAGATCATCCAACATTTCCTGCAAGGTAATCTGAGGCATTCCTTCATCATCCATGTCATCACTATCTACAGCCAATTTATCTCGGTCTACATATAAACAAATATATTTTAGAGAATTAAACTTCATAAACTCAAAGATTCCAAGACAAAAAGCTTTTATGTAAGATAGTATAGAGGTACCACTGCTTTTTTTTTTGAAACTTGTAATTTTTTCTTGTTCTTATTAAAATTTGACACAAGATAATTAGTATGTGACTTATCATGGCAAAATATAATAAAACTTTAAAAAGAAAATCAAGCTTCCAAACTGAAACATACATAATAAAATGAAAACAAAATTATCAAGAATTAGTCTAGTAAATAAAATTATAATTTACTATAAAAAATTGCAAATTTTATCCAAAAAAAAAAGGACTAAAGGTTTATAAACATGCAGCCTCTCTGTGAAAATAAATTTTTTCTTCATTAATTTGTTTTCTTGTTCTCATTTTGGACAATATGTATAATATTCTTAGTCAATTTAAAGTCTTCATACCTTTAAGTGTTTGATTATTTTAAGAATTCTATTTGTCTAAACTTACCGACATAAATGTTGACATTTTTGCGATATTCAGGATCTTCCTCCAAGTCTTCTAAGAAGTCAGTGAAGTCCCTGACATAATTAGAAATTGTCAAGATAAAAACATCAGTATTGGCTTTTCAATGTTTTGTAAACTTAGAGAAATAATCATAATATCAAACATGTTAATCAACAAAAATAACCAACAACTGTGAATACCAAAAGATATTGAATCATAAGGTCCAGCAAATATCTACTGGAAAATACAATCTAATAATAACACTAAAACAGTTAAAAATTCAGTTACAAAAATATTATAAAATGAGATAACTATATTAAAATATAAATTCCAGCAATTATATCATACAATTAGAAAAAATACAATATGTATCTTTGTAACAAAACAGAAAGAGACAAATATTAATGTCAACATAAAATACATTTAATTATCATAAATATGAAGAGTTGTTCATATTTCCTAACTATCTCCATGGTTAAATGAACCGACAGCTGAAATGTTGTGATTTGCAATTTCAAACAATGACTGTAATTTATCCCCACTGGAAGGATTATGTTAACAGAACATAAAGATTTGAAGGTCTCCATTTTCCTTATAAAAGCATGCAAGATGCAAAATTTTATCTTTTTGAAGAAAGGGAAAGATATATAATATTTAATTGCATCAGTAAAGTAAAGTGTGATTCTAGTAGTAAATATACAGGCTACTCCACAATTGGCTATGAGGTAGTAATTAAAGTTAAACAGCTTATCACTGGAAGTAACCCAAGAACACAGCAGATCTATAAAAGTGACACGAGTTTTATTCTCACAAAGATGAACTGAAAACCAGCTATTGAAAGCTATACAACCAGCATCCACCATGACACAGATGGAAGTACATATGTAGTCATGCTGGACAAAGCGTGCATGTACTTAAATGTGGTATGCAAAAATCCAAAAAATTTATTATCATTTTGCCAGTGATACAAAATTAGAAATTGTAAAAAGACATTTTTCAGGAGATTTTCCAAGGGGTTTATGGTGGTCACAAGTTACAGCTATAATGGTAAGTTCATCATCTGGAGAGTTGAAGTAAACTTGGTATACTATCAGTTAACACCACTATACCATGAAGAAATACCAACTTTGTATGGAATGGATTCCATTAAAATATAGCTCCATAAAGACATAACATCTGGTCACAAGATGCAAGTATAAATGGGAAGTCATGCTGTACCATGAATAAATCATTTCTGTTGTTCAAACAGCCCTTGGAAGTTGTTCACACAAGTTTGATGGCCTTTGGAAGCATGTAATGAAGATTGGAAAGACACTTATTTCAGTTTACTTTGCAAATGCCTTCTGCATCAGAAATTGCACTGCATAGCAATAATTCATAACCAAGGCCATCATAGAGAACACCATTATTAGTGATAGAAAGGGTTGTATTAAAGGTCTAGGCATTCATTTCTGCATTGTTATCCTAGATCATGGATAGCCTTTGTGGTGCACTAGCACGCATACACACACATGCACAGAATAAACAAATTATTCTTATTGTACACTGAAGAAAGGATAAATACACCAAAATATAAAGTTCCAATAGTCAACTTGGACAGTTACAGCAATAGATTTTAGAAGATAATGCATGTTGAGTTACAACACTTATTCAACATAATTAAAACAACAAATTAAAGCTGACAAAAGTCTTACCTATTTACACTACTAGTGTCCGTGTCCATATCAGTGTTCATTCGCTGGAGTTTCCACTTTCTTTTACGAGTACGACGAGCTTTATCCCCATATACCTTTTTTACTAATACCTAAAACAAATAGACATTTAGCTAAAATTAAATCTTGAAAAACCTGTATGAAGTTTTTCATTATATTTAATAAGTCATCTTTATAAATTCTTATCATGAATACATACTTATACAAACAGAAAATGTTTTACTTTAAATATCTTCCTTCCTATCATTCATAAAGATGTTAAATTAATATTTGACTGAAAACTTACCACATCTGGAATCCTATCATTTTTTAATTTCTCAAAGTGTGGGTTATTGATGTTTGCATTTGCCAAGTCGAACCTGGAAATCAAAAGTACTGACACAATCAAACTCTGTGGAAAAAGCTATAAACTTTTATAGACTAAAAACTCCCAATGATTTTATAAATACAAATACTAAAGATGATATAAACTAAAATATTAAACTTGCATAATAAAAAAGCTTAAAAATGGTACAAGTATAACATGATTTAATACAATCTTTTACCTTATTAAAGTCTAATCTTTCACTACACAAAATTTAATAGTCTGAAGTTAATTCTCCATTAATGTAACATCCTACCTTACTGAAGACTAATGCTTAATCCTAGAATGCCATTGTGGGGTCACTATGACCCCATATTACCTGGTGTTAATGATTAAAAATTCTAGGGTTAATTAATGACACTCCATATTTAAAGAATTTTGCAGACCTAATTTCTTGGTTCCTACAAGAAAATAAAAATTCAAATATATAACACGTAAACGATAAGAAACAATAACATTACTTGCCCAAGCACAGCATCTCCAGGCTTTAATATATGACCAAGATGTGTCCGACAATGGATGTGATCACTAACTGTCCCCAACTCGCTTGAGCGAACCAACCAAACATCTGCCAGGACGTGCTGCAAAAGTCAAAGCTTTAAATCATATTTTCACAAGTTTTACCTTGGTGCACATTAACAAATACTTAACATTTTAGAAGCTTTATAAATTTCATATCAGTAACATCCAAGTGTTTTGCAACAATTGGACTATCCAGATCAAAAATCTTACTTGTTATAAAACTGATTTAACATCTTTCAATACTAAAGAACAAAATAAAAATACAGGATTTAAAATAACAAAGAAATAAGAATACAACTAAAACCAACCTGATCTGTGAAGATGTAAATTGAAATGAATGGTTAGTTGTTTCCTAAACTACCTTGATACAACTTGTTTGTTAAACATGTTAATATCAAAATTATACCGCTAAATTTCAACTAACAAAAGTACTCGATTTCTTTCTTAAGTGTTACTATGGGTTCTGAATAATCTAGTTATGTTTTATGCTCATTAACTCATAACCTGTAAGGCTTGGGATACAAGATAGTAGTAAACTGTATTAAAATGTCCATTCAAAAGCAGAATGTAGAAAAATTGTTTACTGAATCCTTAAATTAACAAGATTTTTAATTATTAGTGTACTGTTAAATAAGAAGGAAACTTTCAAAATCTGCAGAATTGTGAATTTCAAAAGACTGTATCTTACCTTTGTTGAAAGAGGTCCCTGACCAGCAAAAGTTTTCTTATCTGCATCCATTATCATTTCTACATCCATGACTGTGTATTCTATGAGCTGCTTCAATGAAGATAAGCTATAGAAAGGGGTCCTCCAGTAAGTCTGGCCATTGATCTCTGCCACTACAAAAAAAAAAAACACATAACATAAGCACCACACATCATCTTTCTAACATTTATTATATAATTAAAACATACAAAATATGATTTCTACACTAAATACTGTCAAACATTAATTAATGTATTTGTAATTTTAATGCTCTAGCACCAATCATAAATGTTTGACAGTGTTACTTCATGATGTAGCTAAACTATGATAACTCGAGTTATGTAAAGCTAAAACACAAATATTGTTCATGGACGTATAAACAGTGTCAATCTATAGAACGTCTAATACAAAAGCATCACCTTTTTATGACATCCTATTCATCAACCTAATTTCACAACACAAGAAAATTTATTCATAAATTATATGTCAATTGGAAAATGGTGGTATCCATTAATAAGATATGGTACCCCAACTGTTAAACTTTTAGATAATTTCTGATCCATTGTACATTTAAAAGACTCGTACAGTTGTGTTGAATGGTAAATTATTATTTTTTAAATCTTGATAAATGTCTCTAAACAAAGAAAAAACAATAAATTTACCAGAAGAATTTGTATCTGTTTCATAATATATATAAAATGATATATGGTTATCATTAATTCAACTTTTCATTCAAAAAAATCATTAATTGGTTCAAAAATGTTTTTTTAGGTAACTGCAAAATAGAAGAACTCGTAACAAATGTATCATAAAATAATCTGTTATCAAAATAATTATAACAAATGTTTTATAATGTTATTCGCAAAAACCTCATTTTAACATACTATTATATATTTTCTCAGATGTGAAAAAAGAAACCAAAAATGAAAGGAAACAATTCTACAATAATTTTATTACGATTTATATTCATCTTTCATAAAAAGGCAAAATCTTAGAAATCACCGATAAAGAAAAAGTCTAAAATAATTATTTGATTCAGTGTTTCTCAAAAAATCTTCCAACATGAAGTGCAAGAAGTTCTTTGAAACAATTGAGGTAAACTTACCTTGTAAGGTAGTAGGATCCACAAGGTGCACTGTGCTTGTTATTTGAACACAAACACAGATCTGCCCAATATTACCAAGTGAACGAGCAAGAGAAAGAGGGAGACAGACCACATCATCCTCAAAATAAAAATAAATGTCAAAATTCTCAAATGAAATGGGTCATATTAAAATCTGGTTTTATTAAAACATGTCAATGACTTTTTAATACATATAGAGTAAAAATAACATTTTTTCACATTTACAGTAAAATTATTTTTATTTTCAACCACCTTTGGCAGTTTCATACTTTGCATATTCAATATAATATATATTGAATTCATTTTAGTCTCAAGTCAATAACTAAGAAACTAAACTGCCTTATAGAAAAAGCTCATATAGCATTGGTGAGATTACTTTATATTCACATCTATGTACAAAGTTTTATTACGTACAAAAACAAAAATCATTGTACTTGATTACATTATACCTTTGCTTATGTTTTATCTCTCACATCACAATCATACACAGAGAAATAAACAATACTATTAAATGAATTCCATGATTCATGTAGTTATACCATTATTGGAAATCTAATAAATATAATGCTATTATATTTACATGTAAGTAAATTAAAAAATAACTTATTTGATCAAGAAAAATGAGAAAAACATACTTTACAGATTGGAACAATCTCCACAGAAAAAGTGTACTTGTAGTTGAAGGTGTTGTTTTGTGGATCATGTGATACCAGATGTTGGGATGTGATACTCCTGAGGAGAAATCACAAATTTGCAGGAATTGAATATTCCATGTTAATAAATCAAATTTTACATTTACCAAATGTAAAGGTTAACATTCAATCATTAACCTGGCTTTTTTTCACATATAATTTGGATTCAAAACATTAGTAAACCAAAATATAGACAGATAAAAAGTTCTCAAACTAACAAAATATTTCTATATATATTAAAACTAATAATTCTTGTCTGCATTAGACGTTTTTATTAAAATTAGAAAACTCACAGAAATATATTATTTGGAATTTTAGCAGTTGATTGTAACAATATAAAATACATTTTCACAAGGTCAAAACCTTTAATTCAAAGAAGTTTTAACATATAATGTTACTTCAGAAGTATTTTTGGGACTTGTAGCACCACAGATCAACAGAATAAATTCATTAAAACTACATAAGAATTGCATAAGTAAGTCATAAGTGTAAAACTGTTTAACTTCTCAATTAACAGAAAAAGGTATATATGAAACTTTGTACAAAAAAAAACCAGTTTAGGTTTTAAATAACATGTATAAAAAATCTACAGTTCATAATAAAACAAATTTACCTAGATGGCACCACCGCCTGTAAAAATTCCATAAATTTACGAGCATCATCCCGTTTGTCAAAGAAGAAGTCCAAGCCCTCTACAAAAACAAGATAATCTACATTCTCTAATATCTTACTATAATGGAGCAATGGAATGGCCATATAGATATCTATCTCTCTATGTGACCGAATTAATAAATATAAATGAGTCTGAAATGGCAACACGGATAGGCTTTAAACTTGGTAGAAATGTTGGCTATAACTAAAAAGAACAATTTGAACACTTTTCTTGTGCAGTACTTCCCAGAAAAAAACAAAAACTTTTTTTTTTAAATGTTCACCTTTTTACAATGAGGTATGAATAGTATGATTACCAATTATTAGTACAAACAGCTGCCCATAGGGTGTTGTTTGGTTGACTTACTCCTAATTTAAGTAACAAATAAATTAATCTGATATAAATCAATGTCCTGGAACAACTAACTACTATATATGTATTACAAAAGTAACTAAACACCTTAAACAACGTGAACAAATTTCACTAACAGTTTCAAATAAAATAGTTTGTCTCGCCATCTACTGATAAAACTTATAACTATTAGCTGCAGTAGAATTCACAATAAATTTATATATACACACACACACGTGGCTAATGTCCGTATGTCTACTAAACTTCTCCCGTAGTTTATGTCTGATTTGGATGAAACTTCGCACGATTTTTCAACATCACAAGAGGAAGTTCCTGACAAAGTTTCATTACAATTAAGTCTTTTATAAACCAGAATAAGGCTTTGACACATGGTATATGTGGCATTGTCAAGAACTGGATCACCTGACAACATGTTCATGCTCACAAAAGAGGCTGATAAGTAAACTCGCAATGTTGTATATCAAGAAGTTCTTTAGTCAGTAGTAAAATGTTCAAAAAGTTCTCTTATATTCTATTAACTGAGACTGTCATAGTAAAGTAACTGAGCTGAAGGCCCAATAACACCTTTCGCAGGAACTATCACAAACAGCCATCCTTTGGGCAGCATTTCTGCTAGTAACTTAAAAACACCTGAAAAATTATAATCTTACATTTTGTAACATTATATTAATAGAAGTTTTTTCTAACACTATTCTTGAAATTTACACCAAAACTTATAACTTACTTTGGTGTTTGATAAATTCTACTTTTCTGTTGAAACTTTAACTATTTGCTCCTGTAAATCATCATTTAATAAAAATAACTCATATGGAGGGTTGAGCATGTTATATTAAAACCATCTTGTATATCAAAATAAGCAAATCATGTAACAACCATAGCTGATATAAAGTTATGGTGGAAATTAAATGTAAAAGAAGTACATTTTGTAGGTAGTGCTACCAAAAACTCATCACTTTTTGGAAGGATACGTAACACCTCTTTATAATGCAAAGTATTCATTAATGGGATCATAAAGATGTGTTTAGATTGAGAATTTAGTATTTCCAAGACAAAAGTATCCCTTGTACTTAATGTTATTGGAAAACAAAGGAATATGGATCAACTTGGAGTGCTAGAAGTATCTAGAAAAAGAGATCTACAACAAGTTGTATGCTAGCTCTGGTAAGCAAAGCACAGCATCTTTTAAGAGGTGAGGATCCACAAACACAACGCTCATTGGGAAAAGCATCTGTCCATGTGCCCCAGGCAACAGTACCCAGCATAATTAAGAAAGGTCACCATCTGGAAACACTGCCAACGGGGTACAAGTTCACCAAGACAAGGCTTCCAGCGATACCTCTAGTTCAACCATCACATACCTCAAACAACAAGAGAATGAAACAGAATGTATGCCTATGGATTACTGTGTGATCAGACTGTTGAAATGGGTCTGGGAAATTGTCATCCTGATACACTAAATGGATTGTGGAAAGCATACATTTTGACACAACAGCCTTACTGTTACAAAGAAAACTACATTTCATGGCTATTGTCAAGATGGTCAATAGATACAGCATGATCAAATGTGGTTACACAAACTTAACAACATGGTGAGGCACCAAAACTTTTAGTATGTTTTCAACCTTCTGTATATAGAAAAATAACCAGATTTAGAAGTTAAGATCATAAAATTATGAGCCTACTCTTTCCCAAAACATTGGTCATTACCAAAATAAAAAATATATACAAATAATAAAATTACTTTGGAAAAATGCAATACAGTCATAATGATAGTCTTTCAACCATTCATATCTGAAAGATTTCAACATCTAAGTTAAGGATTAACTATATTAGTTTAATTTTCTTTTTAGAACAAAATTCTGAATTTATTACTTTCAAAATGCAATTTCAGTTTCTACATTAATTTCTTTTTATCTTTACAATGGAAGTTAACTATTTCAATGGTTAAAATAATTTAAGTTCTGTCAGATATAATAGACTGTTTAGTGTATGTAGTATTAATTAATATAATTTGTGAGTTAATATTTCATGATTGTTTAGTTGTTGTTTTTTTTGTAATAAGAGAGTTAAAAGCAAATGATTGTTGGAAGTTGTGTTTGTAAGTTATTGATGTCAAGGCTTCGAAGATTTCTATAACGCCTCAGTGAGAGAAATAAATAGTGGCAACCAAATGAGAGACCAGAGGGTGGGAAGAGAGCCAAAGGTAAAGCCAAGTGAAGGAGAGTTTCAGTCAGAGAAAGGTTAGGAAACGTAATGTTAACCGTCGTAGGAGTGACTAGCCTAATGGTTGATATGTTAAAGTAAGATTAACAGTTTTCTGACATCTTAGGAGAATAATTTGTCTTGTCAAAGGGTGTTCTGAAGCAATTGAACCTGACTGTGTGGTCTTTGACAAAAAGCAGACGATTATTTGGAAGTAGGCCTAAATGTGAAAAGCAATGTTTATTGGAAGTAGGCCTAAATATGAAAAAGCAGACATGTATCGAAAGTTCAGGATACAACTGCAGTGAATTATACACAGACACCGTGGTGATAAAAGAGAAAAGAGAGAGGGAAGAAAAGGAATAAGTGAATTATACACTGATAGTGTTTAAGATAAAAATAGTTAGCTTGTCAAATGAATTCTAAAGCAATTGAATTGGCCCAAGTGGACTTTAGATAAGAAGAGAACTGTATAATATTCAAGATACAACTATGATATACATAGTGTAAATAATTTTTGTACATACGTTTAACTTGTTTCGAATATATATATATTATTTTAAAAACAAGTGGAGTGTGTGCTGTTCGTTTATTGTCGAATTTATCGCTAAGAAATCACAGACACCTACTGTAGAAGAATCCTTAGCCCAACACACACCTATATATATTTTATACTACTCCTAAAAAAGTAAGTTTTTGAGAAGTTTTAATTAAAAGAAAGCAATGAAATCTCTGGTGGTGTAAGACAATAGATATTTAATAGAACAACAACCTTCAGCAGGATATAAATATGTAGAGGCATAACATAACACTGATTAAAATCTGATGCTCTAAACACACAGACAACATCTGGCTATTGCCTCTTGAAAAAGTATACTGAATTGGGATACGGTTAATACTGAAATTCCTCTTAATTTCAAAAGTTTATCACCATTTCAAACAAACTGGTGACAGCTTGATGATTTAAAAACAATCCTACTATAATTTGAGAGCAATTTGTATATTTGTCATTTAACTCCTCTTAGACTTTTGCATTTGGTTATCAAACATGGTTTAATCAACTAGGAATGATTGGGGATGTGTGAAGAAGTTATTTTTCTTTTAAAATTCACATATTTCATAGCTCTAGTGCTCACTAAATATAGATCAGTCAGTGAGGGTAGCCACTACATGTACTGATGAGATTTCTCCAGTTTTCTCTTTCATTACCTGGGGTATACATAAAGTACATGTACATTCAATTTTATTACTGGCATATTTAGGATAAAAACAGAAACACTATATGTATATATTCGCATCTTGTAAAACATTATTCTTTAATTGCATTTTTGGTTTCAAATCCCATCATTTTTCACATACTGTTTATATGTACCTTCAAGATACACAATTATATTAAGTGAGATATTCTTAAGTCAATGTTATTTAAATACTCAAACCCAGTGAATGTGCATAACTTTATTCTTATGTACTTTTAATCTTTATATTGCCACTGACATATTTCAGAAATAAACAACATTAGAAAAAAACTTTTACCATGAGAAGCTTTTAGATACAGGCAATTCTGGTGAACTTTGTGCTTGAGAATGAGTTGTTCCAAATAGAAAAAAGTCTTCTTGTGTTCAGTCTTGAAACAAACAAACACCATCATTGTAGAAATTAAAAGTTCTTGAACTGTCACAGAGCAACATTGGCAAATAGGTACTGATATATTTTTAGAACACCATTTTCTAGCTAAGCTTTACGTTGTCAAATTTCTATATTGCATGGGTAAAATGGTAATTTTTTATCTTGTCGTGAGTTACTTTTAGTTCTGCAGTTTATTGAAACTTCCAGCATCACTCTGCATAAAAGAGTCAACATAAATCTTCTACTTTTACAGACAATTGCAGGTGTTTAAAACTCATAACAATGTGTTAAATTCCAAGATTTTTAGTTCTTTCTTTCCTATTTAACTTTCACCACCTACAATAATTTTACAGATCATTAAGTCTATTTATGCCAAACTTTTGAGCAATGTTTAACAATGTTAAAATGTAAAAAAAAATTAATAAATTAATGTAACATAATACCTCAAGAAATAACGAGAAAACAAAATATATTATATCACTATTTTTTTTATAAACACAGATTTAGATTTCTTTAATGAGCAGCTAGAAAATTCTTAAGAAATCAAATAAGCAGAACTTTTTTTTTTTCTGAGATGGGACAAATATTCAGTATGGTCTGATAATACACTATCCAAAGAAATCAGATCCAGTCAGATATTAGATTTGAAATAAATCAGATAGCATTTCCATCAACAGATTATCTCTCAATATTATGCAGGCGTGATAGTACTTGCACATGCATCACACATAATAGGTATTGCATCATTTAGCCCACTGGTGAATTCTACTAGATTCTAAACATAGTAGCATTTTCCCTTGCATTAAATAGTGGGAGCCCCTGTAGTTGTAATATAGATGTGTTATGTAGTTTAAATAATCATCATGCCCACCTGTCGTTCGCTACTGTATATCACAGGTGGTCACGATAGTGGCAGCAAGAACAATGCCAAGCATAATCCAAACAACAGTCTCTGAAGAGGATCAGGGGTTGAATACCCCTTATCAATTTTTCAAACAATAATGATGAAGTAGCTAGTTTAATACTATATTGAAGTGCTAGCTCATTCCTGCAATACATTTTCTTTATATACGGGCACATCTACTATCCAATCTGAAAAGACCAGAATCTGATCAGATATCAAGAGTTGAATAATGAATATCTGACCAAAACTACTATATGTCCCATCCCTAGTTCCATATACACATATACTTCTACAAACTTCTAATTGTACCTTCTGTCGAACTTGTACAACAGCTCTCCAATAATCCTTAGCTTCATTACGATGACAATCTGGGCACATTTGGGTGTTAACAGTATATTCAACAACAAAAACTTGTTGAAGTACAGCACCACCAAAGACTTCCTTCTGCACAGTAAGTTTCACTTTGATTCGACGGGAATGTGGTTCAGTCCAAACAAATCCAGCATCAATTAATCTGATCTATGCAAGCCAAACAAGGGCAACTCTTATTAAATTCATGACAGATTCAAAATTACATCTTAAATTCACCACAAAACTGAAAACTAAAGATATGGTTCTTGAGCTTTTGGAAGTTTTGCACTCAAGTCATTCACCTACATTGTTACAGAAATAACTAATGAGACTAAAAGTATCCAAAAATAGGAGTATTAGACCATTTTACATCCAATCCCATAAATAAAAATGTGATCAAGACAAACAGAAGTTCAAACACCATTGCTTACAATATTAATAAAGACTATATTGAAGAAAAGTGTCAATTATAATAGACTGCTCTAAAAATGCATTCAAGGTATCTAATCAACATTATTAATAATAAGTAGTAATAATTAGTTAGTAATAAGTTTTTTAAAACAACCATAACATCAATAAGGCTAAATAAAGTATTCAAGAACAATGTTTCAGCTGAACCATTTATTGTTTTACAAAACCATCAGAGATTTACAAATTACATTAACAACGAGACAATAATAGAGTATAAGCAACATCAATTAAATTTAGAAAAGGTTTTTTATGCTAAAAGCTACTCAAGAGCTCTGTATACTAACCATCAGAGATTTACAAATTACATTAACAACGAGACAATAATAGAGTATAAGCAACATCAATTAAAGTTAGAAAAGGTTTTTTATGCTAAAAGCTACTCAAGAGCTCTGTATACTAACCATCCCTAATATTCAACAGGTAGACTAGGGAGAGAAGATAATTAAGAGCATCAACCTTTAAGTTGTGTCTAACTGAACAGGAGGGATCTAACAGTCACCCTTATAATGCACCAACAGTAATAAATGCAAATCATGCTGTTTTCTCTTAATTTCTTTTGTAATAAAATAATCCAAATGATGGACACATATCCATAGTTTGGTATGCTAACTACTGGGCAATTAGAAAAGAACAAAAAACAAAGTATGAATTGCAAATGTTTGAAATGGTTAATTCAAGAATATTTGAATACTACTTTTTAAAACAGGAAATATGAACGGTAATTTTTGATTCCACTGAAATTTCATTAACTGAAATGTTTCCTTGCAAATAAAATCACAAAATTCATTATCTTCAATTCTATTCTACACAAATTTTTTAAGCTAACCAATAACACAATGATGTTTCATAATTAGTAATCCTTTTATTAAAATTGGCAATAATAGTATTTTGATCAACTTTTCTTTTCACCAGCCACTAAGCATCTTGCTACTGTAATAATTGCAGCAAATGTGTCATATGAATCAATATTTCAGAAGTTGAAAGTAAGTTAAGAGCATCCTAAAAATGTTTACTGCTGTGCCTTCAATTAAAATCATATTTTTATAAATACTAATATACATATTTTATTAACTTTATTGCAATCTCAAACAAACATCTTTGAACATCATTATCATTCCACTATGAAAAACCACTGCCATTCACAGTAAACAATTACTAATTATTTTACCATCCACCAAAGAAAACAAAATGTGCAATGCCTGACACCTATTCACTCTTATAACTCTTTAATAAACAAATAAACACTATATTTATAGATGAAAAAAATTACATGTAGAAAAAATCCTTTAATAAAGCAGTGCTATTTTTAATCAACCTTCTATTCATGGGCTAGGTGAAATTAACCAATTCCTTATATGTAGCTATACATACAAATGTTTATTTCAGTTCTGAATTTACTATATTTTTTCACAAAATTTATCAAATTTTTAATACAAATTACAAGTCTGTTATACAAAAAAATCAACAACAGCCTTTTAATTAAATATTTTACTAGAGATTTATCTATTAATTTCCAAAGATTTTGCCGAGTAAGTCTGGGTGAAAGGTGATTTTCATGCTAAGAATAAAAACACTTTTCATATTTCACTTCTACAATCTCCAGAATGTCATAATAAGTATCAAAAGTTTTTCAGGTTTGTTTCTTTTTAACTTAATGGTTTTATTCCTGCAATCCTCGGAATAAAAGCAATAAATCACAGCAGGAGCCCATTACCTGTTTCCCATAGAACTAACACAAACACCACTTCATCACTGGGTGTAATGTTCCATAGAGCTCCACTTCACCTGATCACATATAAATACTAGGTATAAAAAAATCTATAGCATACAGAAATATTAATAGAACACAACCACAGATCACAAGGAACCGTTTGGTCCTTCACGGCTGTCCTTGCACACCCACCCGAGAAAAGGAAAACAAAATTAAACCTACCCTTTCAAGAAATCATCAATTCCATTCTTAAACTCCTTGAAAGTGCTGGCCTCCATTACTACCAACAGCAACTCATTCCCTAAGTCAATTACCCTGTCAGAAAATAAATCTGTCTAAAATGGAGCCTAGTCTGCTTTTAAAAACTTGCATCCTCTTTCCTGTTATCTTTAAAATACAGCAAAACAGAAAAAAAGAGGACTTTATCTTATCAATCCACCAGGTCACCTTGGAAACGTCAATGAGATCACATCTTATCCTTCTTTTCACAAAAGAAAGTAAAGATATCTTAACTTATTTGTCAGATATAAAAGACTGTTTAGTGTAGATAGTATTATTAATTTATTTATTTTGTGTTTGTAATTCATTGATGCTGAGGCTATTGAACATTGTGTTTGCAATCCATTGATATCAAGGCTATGGAGATTTCTAGAAGGCCTAAGTGATAGATGTATATACAGCTGTGATCAGATGGGTGGAAAAAGAGTAAAAGTAAAGTCATGTGAAAGAGAATTTCAGTCAGAGTAAAGTTAGAAAACATAAAGTTAACCGTCATAGGAATGAATGACCTAATGGTTGACATGTTAGAATGAGATTACAGTTTGAAAGAGATAAGGAGAAAAATGTCTCTCATCAAAGGGTATTCTAAACTAATTGAAAACCCACCTGTGTGGACTTTGACAAAAAGTAGACGATTATTGGAAGTTCAGGATACAACTGCAGTAACTCACATGACAGCATAAATGAATTATAGGCTGATACTATTGCGATAAAACTAATTTTGCTTTTCAACTTAAAATCTAAAGCAATTGATTTGGCCCAAGTAGACTTTTGACAAGAAGAGAACTGTAAAGCATTTAAGATACAACTATGATCTCTATAGTGTAAAGAATTTAGTATGTACATTTAACTTGTTTCGAATGTATGTATATATATCATTTTAAAAACAAGTGGAGCGCGCGCTGTTCGTTTGTTGTCAAATTTATTGCCAATAAGTCACAGACACCTACTATAGAAGAATCCTTAGCCCAACACACCTATATATTTACATTAATATATATACATACTACTAAAAAGTAGTTTCCAACACTATCCCTATAAGATAACCCTTCCATTAGTGGAATCATTCTAGTTGCCTTTCTCAGAACACATTTCCAATAACTCAATATATTTTCTTAGAAAATGAGAACAAAACTGTATCAAAGTATTTCAAATGATGCTTACCTAATGATTTGTATAAACATTATATATATGGTGAATTCATGTTGGCTTTCTTTTATGATATCATATTTTACTGAATGATTTCATAATTCACTAGCATAATTATCCAAGTTGAATAATATATCAAGCTATTAAACTTACAAATATCTACAGCACTGATTACCATGTTGCAAAGAAACAAGTTAAAAAATATTATAGAACAAAAAGAAAAATGTATCAAAGGTCAAGGTATCAAAAATATGAATTATGTTAGAAAACAATAACCCAAGAATATATTATCAATGTTTTAAAATGTAAAGCATTATTTTAATGCACAATTACTTAATATTTCTACTTTATTTTAACATGTAAATACAAGGAACCCTTGCAATGCAACTCTATGCAAGGAACACTTCATTTGCTGTCTAAATAAATTAAGTCATCAAATATATTACATGAATATTTTTTTGTAGGTTCCTTTGATCATAGAAATGTTTTTCTTTTTACCTTACTAAGTCCTTTAAGTTTTTTTAGACACAAAGCTAGGAGTTCCCTTGACTCCAAAGCACAAACAATCCACTGAGCAGGAGGTTGGAGGTATCTATTAGAATGAAAATAAATGTAAAATACCATGTATTCCTACATAAATAAAATAATAATTACAAATTATTTTCAGTATTTTTATGTGCTTAAAGACAATATGAAATTATAATCAGAATTCCAGCAAGTTGCTATAGTGACAAAACTTATGCCTCTGGTTAGCTTCTACTTTAATGGAAGTTTGTATGCACTAGAAGCCAACATACAGGCTTTTAAGTTCATTGTTTGTTTTCAATTTCGCACAAAGCTACATGAGGGCTATCTGCACTAGCCATCCCTAATTTAGCAGTGATAGGCCAGAGGGAAGGCAGCTAGTCATCATCACCCACTACCAACTCTTGGGCAACTCCTTTATCAACGAATAGTGAGATTGACCATCACATTATAATGCCTCTACAGCTGAAAGGGCGAGCATGTTTGGTAGGAAAGATATTTGAATCTGTGACCTGCAGATTGCGAGGCGAGCACCCTAATCACCTGGTCATGCCGGACCTTTTTAAATTCATAGAAAATATTTCCTTTTTTTTAGTTGTTGGAAAAGGTTTTCCAAATGAACTGGTTTGTATTGGTAACTTTATGATTCTTTCAAGAACAAGCAAAGTGGTAATTTGTTTCCACTTTATGTTTTAAAAGATGCAACACAATTAAGCATATACTATATATTTTTATGCAAAAAAATAAATAAGACAAAAAACAGATGCTTGAATATTACAGTTAAAAAGTTCCATGTTTTTATAAAAATGCAGTAGGTTAAAGTATGGTAAGTAGCATTTAAGGTTAGTTACCTTTTTAACAACAAACATTTAAAAATACAAAGTCCCAACTGTAAGGCACCAGAATCTATCTGGCTCATACAAGTGATTTAAAACTGAAAAATAACAAGAAAATTATATGTAAGTAGACCTGTCACTAAATATGTTACCACATACTTTATATTTTGACTTTTTTCTTGAGTTTACTTTTTTTTGTATGGAGATCTAAATCATAAAAAAATAATATATGGTTTAGATGTAAGATAGCTAACATTTTTTCTCATTTCAGACTTTATGTTTGCTATAAACATTTGAGATTATATAAAGTCACAAAGGGCCAAACAAAAATACTGATATGAACTCTACACTGTAGTTAAAGTTCCAAAAATGAAGAGTAACTGTCATTACACATAATCGAAAATAATAATTTTCTTTGAGCAAAAAAATCACCTCTCACTCAAGAACTGATTTTTGTGGGACTAAACAACTTCACATTTGCTTGCATTAGGCTTATGTTAGAAACCACTATTCAAGTAGTATGGATAGTCAAGCAAATGGAAATTATAGATATGAAAAGAGAGAATTTATCACATCTGATATCTAATCCTAATCTCTTTTCTTTTATAGTAGAAATAACTTGAAGAATTTTAATGTATTATTCATAGCTCAAGCTAATTCTAGCAGGCATATTTTTAGCAACATTTATTTACACTATTTTCCAATATTCAAACATAGATATTAAGAAAACATATGCTAAGCTCCAAAACAACTGCATTTAAGCATCATGTGTTTTTATATTCATAGCTCTGAAATAATATTTATATATCATGATCTAAGTGTAAAATCAAGTAAAGTTGCTTTGTACATACACGAGTGTCATTCAGAATGTCAGAGAAAGCCTAATAATAGAATCAGTTGCATCATTTAAGATAAAATTCTATGTTCTGTATTTAAATTAGTTGTCTATCTAAACATTTTTTCTGTGGATTGACATTATTCAACAAAACACTTTTTTAAATGTTTTTGGTAAGATTATTTCAATAACAATGTGAAATTTTCCAGAGTTAAGGTCAATACAAGTATGGATTGCTATTTTGCAAACAATTAAAATTTCAAATATAACAGTTATATCACAAGTGTCAACACTAATAATGTTGGTCTGTTTGTGATACTTTATTTTCCAGTAAGCACCAAAGCAGAATTATCCACCTGTATTGCTTACCTTTCACAACTTTTACAGAAGTAGAGTGTAGCCTGTTTTGGAATTCCTTCAGTAATGTCTACATGAGTTCGAATACAAGCAATGCACATGTTGGCTGGATTGGGTTCTATTGCAGTTCCACACTGACAGCATAAGCTATGAAATAAAACCAACCATTAGCACTAAGCTAATTAAAAACAAACAAAAAAATGATTGAGAAAAAAACCTTGATAAAGTATACTTTGTTTAAATGTAGTTTTTCATTTTAGAAAACTTTTTTAAATATAATTTTTTTTTTTTAACTTAGGATTAAGTTATTTTGTACAAATTTCCTTCCTAGATATCAAAGGAAGTCTGTGGAATATTAAGTTTTGAATTTGCCAAGGCTGAAATATCAGTAAAAAATTCAGTGTAGTCACATTTCCTACATAAGCATTTTCCTTTCATTCCCAATTTTTTCTTCTTACAGGTTAAAACTAGTTTCATTACATAAAATATATAATTATTAATACAAATCGTAATCTTACTATTATTATCAAGTTTGTAATTTTTTTCTCAATCTTTGGTCCATAGGCTTCTTTTAGGTATTTTGTGGGAAGGTTGAATAACTGTGAAAAAGAACAGCAGCAGCATAGCTTATAACTCCCATTCTGGTCTGCCCAAATATATTTAAAAAAGAAATTCTGGTGTTCCATGAACAAAAATGTTGAGAACCACTATTATAGTTGTTTCTCTTTAGATTTTTCATTGATCTACATTAGTTTGAAATACCTTGTAAAATGTGTGAGTTTATAGCTTTTACCTTATCCTCGGGACTGGTGGTGGTTGAAAGATAAGCAATCATAGTATGGCAGAGACCACACATGAAGAACTATGGAGACTGCCTCCAAGAGCTTCCACACACAAGCATCACCCAGTTGAGCATCTCTCCAGAGGAGCGGGAAAGAGCTGGAGCACCTGGAAAGCCCTCAATCACCTACATTCCTAGATTGGCAGGTTTAGGGCCAACATGGTAAAATGGAGGTAGTACAGCAGACCTACTGCCCTCAACTACAGCAAGAAGCAGACAAAGCAACATCTACTTGTCTGCCCATAACTCCAGGTACCATGCACAGCAGAAGACCTCACTGTAGCCAGTGAACATGAAATCAGATATGCATAGCACAGAACAGAAACCACATAGGGCCAGGTGAACATAAAGAAGACCTTATCCTTGGGCATTAAAATTTTTAAATAATTTATTTAGATGTATCAAATTGTTAATGATTTGAACAGTCTTCTTATAAGTGGTCTCTGTACTGGTATGATATTATTGGGAATATTAATTTGAATTTTATTTTTAGGATCAAGAGATTTAGGCTTTGGAAACACAAATGCTGACTTGTTCTTTTTTTTTTTAAAGGGCTGTAGCCTATACACAATGATTTGACTAATGGGTAGAATAAGCTGTCACTTTGTATCCTGTGATCAAAATTTTGTAAAATAATTATTTTTCACTTTTCTTTTTTTTGTGGGTGATGATGACCTTGATGACCCAAATGGTATTTTATATTTAATAATAATAATAATCAAATCATTATAATAATTGAGACCTATTTAAGATAAATAAATTATACATATTTGGCAAAAGTCTGTGTTACATTTGAAAAAACAAAAACACTGCCGTCGTGACTATATCATTCCTAACGAATCTTACATTTTATTTCCTTTCGAAGGTTCAACTTGACCAGTTAGAAATTCCATCTTGTCATGCCAGTCAGTGAGTCACTCAATCGGCCAACTTGTTCACACACGTGTAGTGAAGGCTAGCCTAAAGTATTGTTACGTACGTAAACTATTTCTTCGACACGCTTACTAGATTAAAAAAAGAAAGAAATGAAACATCGAAATACACAGTTAAGATGAAAAAATATAGTTTTGATATGTTAAAAAAACTATAAATATAATACACGCACACAAAAAAACAGAAATAATCATACCATCCACGTTTTCACGAATCCAGTTTTAATTTTTATGACTTCAGCGAATGAATTTTACATCAAATTTCCCCCTAGCGCTGATTTTACAAGCATAAAAATATAGCAAGTGTTTAAAATATTTCAAAAAAGGCTTAAACTTAACTTCAACAGAGGATATTGAGCAGTTACATTTTTATACACAATTACAATAAACACGCCATTGATAAAAATGAGAAATTCTTAAAAGTAATTAAAGTACTTGCAGGAGTACCCATTCCTGGGACGGAAGTTAAGTAAATTCATGATTAATGAAAGGTTATCTTAGAGCATGAAAAGTTGCCTCTCTTATATAGATTGTAAAAGAAAAAAAAACGCAAAAACGCCCATAAAAACCGTAAATTTCATAACTGAAAAATTTTATGTATCTTTCCCTGGACTAAATGAGCCTCCATACCAAATTTAGTAAAAAACCACCCACAGAAGGTATGGTAGTGGTAAGAAAAAACGCCCAAAAAACCCGCAAAATGCAAAACTGAAAATTTGTTTGTACCCCTGCATGGACCTACATACCAAATTTAATGAAGGTCCATCCACACCCTG